CAATCCTGGGGGCTTGGTCTCCATACTTAGTCTTTGTAGCCTCATCAAGTTGATAAGTTACACCCTGCCGGCTTGGTACCCCGTTAGGGTGCTACCAAGTCGGCCTTGGGACTTTGTCTCCATATGGCCCCATAAGGACCATACATGGTTGTTTGGTACCTAGTCGGGTGGCCACCTCAGCTAGCCACCATGCCTTAGTAGAATTTCTTGTCTTGTTGGCTTGATACCCTGATGTATGGCTATCAAGTCCGTCTTGGCCCCCTGTTGCCTGGCCACCAAGTCAGTCTTACCGGCTTGATACCCCCTTGGGGTCATGGGACCCTGTCGCTTTGCTTGGCTGCCAAGCTTGTCTTGCCGACCCCGTTGGCTTCATACTTAGCCAAATTCATGCTTTTCATGTCTTGGAACCAAGCCATGCCTTGCCGGCTTGGTACCCTCTTGCTATGGCCATGTGATTCCATACTTAACCAATTTTCATGTATTTTAGTATCAAGCATGCCTTTTCGGCTTGATACCCCTTTGGCTCTATACTTAGCCAAATTCAATGTTTTGGTACCAAGCCCTCCTTGCCGGCATGGTACCCTCTTGCCCCATACTCAACCGATTTTGTCTCAGCACGGATGGTCTCCTATTTGGTACCCGGCTGTTTGGCACCCCTCGGACGGTGTCATGTTTGACACCCTTGGACGAGACCCCCCTTGGACGAGATCATGCATGACCCCCCTTGTGCCTGACCCCCTTGGACGGTGTCATGCATGATCCCCCTTGTGCTGTGGGTCTCAACACTTAGCCAATTATTTTGGCCTTCCTTGCACCACACGGCGAAAGGGTACTCGCGATGACCTCCTTGTGCTGTGGATCTCAACACTTAGCCAAATTTTGGCAATGACCCCCTTGGACGAGACCCCCTTGGACGAGGTCATGCATGACCCCCTTGTGGTTGGGTCTCAATACTTAGTCAAATTTCATACCAAGGGGTGGAGGCATCGTCCGGCTATGGGGTCACGGAGACGGGTCGGCCATCGTATAGAGGAGAAGGGGTTTGGCCACTTAGGCCCAAAAACCCAACCCAACAAGGCCCAACTATCTCTTTTAATCATTAATGTTGAGCTGGCCTTATAAATCACTACCACTCCTTGAAAATAATCAATGTGGTATTGAGTTATTTTTTTAGTGGTAAACAAATACAACAAGGCCAATTTTTATTCATAAAAATAGAAATAAAACCATTTAAAAAAATATATATAAAAACAAAACCAAAATGCTTCATTATGAATCTTGAGGTTTCATGCTTGTTGTAATTAGGGCTACAATTGAGTCAAGTCGAGTCGAGTTTGACTTACCTTGAACTAGACTCGTTAATAAACGAGCCAAACTCGAGCTTTACTTGATTACCTGTTTACACTAAAAAAATAATCGTGTACCGCATTGATTATTTACAAGACATTAACTGTCTTTATAAGGCCAGATCAACAATAACAATTAATGTTATTTAAACTGAGCCTACGATACTAGATTTTTAAACCCAAACGATTAGGCCTGACATGACGCGTGAGAATAAACTAAGTCTGGTGCCTCATCGCGACAAGCCTCCTCGCGTCAAGTTGGTAGACCGCCTTGTCGGGACAAACCGCCTTGTCTAAACCACATCGCGAGTCTACAAGATATGTGGGGAGAAGGTCACAAAATAAACTAAGTTCAAGCGCCAAGCCTCCTCGCGTCAGGCCACTTCGTGAGCCCGCTAGGCCACCTCGTCGCAAGTCCGCCAAGCCTCTACTAAGTCTAAGCGCCAAGCCTCCTCGCGTAGAGTTTGGTAGACCGCCTCATCGCAACAAGCCTCCTCGCGCCAAGTTTGGTAAACCACCTCGTAGTATTGTCATCATGTTTGACAAACCGCCTCGTCGCGAGATCTGGAATAGCCATGGTAAAGGAAAGGGCAAGTAACAAGACGTCAGTTCCAAAAGGGAGAGGCGACGGTTTGATTGAGAAACTGTCAATTACTCCACGTTCAAGGACACGTCAGCCACGTCCGGGAAAGAAGGGAAGTTGTTCTTTTTGGAAGTTACTCTCCAGACAGTTTTCTATGACGGTTATCACCTCAAGCCTATAAATAGGAGGAAGAGTTGTCAGAGAATAGGTTCGCCAAATTCACACCAGACAACACAATGTCAAATTTTATCCCTTTTTCCTTTCCTCTGCAATTTTAGCCGTAGTAGTAGATCTGGAGCTCTCTTAGAACCTCCATAGGAGTATGAGTAACTTAATGTAGATCTGTCTCGAGAGTCGTGTAAACATCGATCACCCTCGTTCGAACTGTGTTTGAAGAGGTGTGAACCGTGTCTTAGTGATCGTTGTCCAAAGAAGTCAAGGTGCAATCAATATCAATTCAACGCAAGTTTTCTCGCCGGAAAACATTACCAAAATCTTGTCTTGTGTTTAACTCGAGCTCGGCTCATTAATGAGTTCAAGAGCTCTACTCGAGCTCGGATGATTTACTAACGAGCGACTAATATCCGCATGATTTATTGTTAACCGCGAGTTAATGCATATGTTGTAGGTGGAACTGAGTGTATCATATATCATGATCCCGTTTTCACCAACCAAAATAACAAACCACGTACATAATACATACATACATAACATTATCAATGTAAGTTATGTGAACGATCACAATGACTTCTTTCTTTCCCAAAAGTTTACTGGATGGCTAAACATCGCCCTAATTTTACTTTAATCGCCCTAATTTAAAATATAAAATTACTAAACTAACCTTAATTAATCAAATAAAAGTAAAAAAAACAAACGAGCTTAATAAATAATAATCCTACCTCATCTTCTTCCAAAATGGTGTCCTCGACCCCCAAACCATGTCCGCCGCAGAGGCTTACTCAATACTTAAAACACTAAATTTAACTCACCCAGAATAAGTACTTGGTGCAAGGTGTATCCAGTAATACAGCCTATTGGAGCCCATATGCTTTTGAGCTCTCAATTAGAATATGAGGCTTTTGCTTCCCGTATGGAGTCCGGCGACGGCGGCAGCAATGGTTCCAAGGGGGTTTCGGTTTCGGAAGCCAAAGATGCAGATTCGTGGTACGCCAGTTTCTTGGTCAATTGGGATTGCCCATGAAAAGATTTGGTGTCAAATTTATTAGCCTCATCGATTTGTAACTCGTAGGTGATTAAATAAGTTGATCGCCGATTGTAATTTGAGTAGAACAGTCCCCGTCCGAATAAATCAGTGTCGGCCGACGGTGGGAATAAGTGGTGACGATTTTTTAATGGACTGTGTTAGAATAAAATATTTTAATAATAATAATAATCAGGGTAAAAAAGTCATCTTGATTATTAATTTAGGGCGATTCGTAAAAACTAGGGCGACAATTAGCAACTCCCAAAGTTTATCATAAGTACTACTCCAATAATCAAAGTTATTTCATAATAATCAATTTGTATTAACAATGTATTAACTTAAGACGTCCCCTTCTTCTTTATAATTAGTGCGCTTTGACTTTACCTAGTGTCCAAGTCTAATTAGGAGTCAATCAATTATCATTCATCTAAGTGCTCTCTTTAATTCCACCCACCCACCATCTACCCGCGTTAATCTGTCCTACTCCAACTTTCGGTATATGTTACAAAAGACAGCGGCAGTTTGCGATTTCCACTAATAATTAGGTGGGTTGACCATGGCACAAAAGAATAGAAACAAGGAGAGCCTAAATGCATAATGTCAACGAATACATAGGAAATTATGCTACATAACAGAGTTTTGTAAGGTCAACGGCCAACCACATGGTGAGAAAAATAGTGTGTTGACTTTCACCCTTCCATCCATATCGTTGTGGTATTCACAATACAATATGTAATGTTGGTATCGAGTTTCAACCATTCATACCTCTGGCTCTGGAGATGATAAGTTCATTCGAAATGTTCTAAACGCAGTGTCATTCCGATTCGCTGGTTGCGCATGTTATCTAATATAGACACTTAGATATGGTAAATGACTGTAAGAACTCTCGGCGAAAATGAGCATTTGAGAGAATGCTTGTCCATGCGTCTTGGAACCATCTCCTCGGATGGCATGTGTGATATATAGTGTTTTCGGAGTTGGGACATGCCACTGTAGCGAGTATAAGACATGACACGAACGACATAGCTAGTGAGCCTTGCAGAACTTATGCTATCGACGAAGATGTTGATCTCTCGAACATTATTTTGTTATTCAGCTCGATACAAAAATTAATTGTGAATTAGGATATTTCTCTGAAGTATTTTTCTGTGGATGTGTTTTGATATTATTACAAAATTTACTTAAACCCTACTCTCTCTAGCTGATCCATCTCTATGTCCAATTCCTTATTCTTCTTCTCTTCAAATTTATCCAAGAATCGAAATTTTCTACTAAAAGCTTAACTCCTTAAAACCCCCAATGCCCATGTATCCATCCTCTCTCATTTGATAATTGTAGGAAGTAGGTTTTAGAGAACAGGACAACGACAATCGAATGACATTGTTGTAATTTGGTGCTGGACTCGAACTAATGGTAACTTCAACATACTCATAAACAAACAGTAACAAATATCAACCTCATTCTCCATTTTAACACCCCAAATAATTCCAGACGATAGAGACATCCGAACTTGGGTCTAGACATGACATTCGAATTGAAAGTTTGATGATCACTTTGTCAATAACAACAAAGTTAAATGACCATCCATATAGTTGACCCCCTTCATCAATCAAAAGAATCTCAAAATGTTACATAGCATATTGCCTATGGACCATGGATGCATGTAGATCAAGTGATAAACATATATCCATGCGCATACATACATACATATATAAAATAAAATACATAAAATAATTTGGGGAATAATAAGGAGCCAAGAGAGAGAATAGGTGGGTGACGTGGGCCTGTAAGGCGAGAGGAAAATATCGTCGCCACGTGGTCAGAGCCCAAATCTCTAAACTTAAGCATTGGAGCTCTGAGAGTCCTACTAAAGATCTCCTCTCTCTTCTTCTCCTACAAAGCAATCAAAAAAATTGACGGAGTTGGTAAAAACTCTGAAGAACCCAAAAGATTCCGAAACCTCCATTTCTTTCTCCTCACAGATTTCTTAGTCCACAGGCGGAAAACTCCACACCTGTAAAATTATCTCAGATCCCCAATTCCTTCCTTACCAGGTACTGTCTTCTGTACTTAGAACTTCCCCTCTTCTTTTCTCTAGAAATCACCAGTTGATTACATTTTTTACTCGGTTTCTGAGGGCTTCAAATTTGTAAAGATTCGAGCTTTACTTCTTATCTGGCCTTCCTGCTGTTCTGGGTCTCTTGTTTTTTGGAATCAATTCGTTGGTGGTTCCTGATTTGTGGTGAAAAAAAATTTATCCTTTCGTTTTTCTTTTCTCCCCACCACTATTTAAGGGTAAGATTCATTGTGTTGGCTTTTGCTGCAGAGAAGTTGGTGATGGGTAGCGGCGGAGCAGTAGATACAACATAATTCTGTGCAAGTTTCTGCAGCAGAAGAAAGGAAGACGATGGGAGGCTTAGATTTAGATTTCATCATTGGTTATTGAGTGTTGCTATTCTGGGGTCTGTTTGTAATATTCAGGACGAATGTTGAGTTACGATATTTGGATTCTTGATTGGTGGTGGTAAGGGAGTGCGGTTTTTGAGGGGGAAGGAAGCTGAAAGAGGGAGGTGGAGCTTGGTTTTTTTCTCCTTTCCCTTTTTGGTGCTTCCAGAGCTCCTCACCGTTTTGTGAAGGCAAAAAAAGAAGGGTTTCCTTATTTTCACTGTAATATCGAGACTTAAATTTACCAATTTCAACCACTTGTTCATCACCAATGGCTGCTGCTGCGACTTCTTCCGAGCGATGGATTGATAGTCTTCAGCTCTCTTCATTGTTCTGGCCTCCTCCACAAGATATCCACCAGAGAAAGGTTGGATTAATAACCTTCTCTTGTTATAGTCTTGCGTGTGCTTATCTTTTAGTTGTTAATTACATGCTTCTTTCCTGGTCTAGTTTTTTCCTTATACATGAAATTTAGTGGCCTGTTTTGGAATCATTTTAACAGCATGGTAATGATTGTAAAGGCAAGATCTTCATTTAAATCCAATCCCTTAAAAGAAAATTAAGAAGTGCCGAGTCTTTGGACTTCTTCATAACTGGAAAAGGTTTCTAGGTGGAATCGGGTAGTGCACATGAGTTCTGTCTTAGAAGGAGATATTTGGTGATTGCATGTCTGCCTATTAGCTTAGTGGTTGCGAAACCAGTCTTTATGATGGGGAAAATGATGTCTAACGGTGATTTTTAGACATGATCCAATAGTCCCTAGCCAGGCATATCATATTGTCTCACAAGGAGATGCTTCAACGCGGAATACTAATTAAGTGCAGGGCCTGCCGACATGAATTTCTATCAGAGGAGATCGAGAAGTTGGTGTGTCCTTTGGCTGATCCATCTCATCTGTTGTTGGGGGATGATATATGTGTATGTTATGGAGGGCCCATCATGCCTGGGTTGCTATTGTGGGTTGATGGTGGGTTTCTTGATATGCCATTTGGTGGGCATCTCGTGTTGCCTCTGCAGTATGAAGCATGGTGTTTGCTATGGATGGGAACCATCTCCCCCGGAATCATTATCTGTTGATGGCTTGGATTTTGTTTCTTTAATGGATGTTCAGATAGCTGCATGGGGTGCGTTTGTTTTCTGGAATTGGAGGTTTTGTTAAGAAAAGAAGCAATAACTGAAGCTCCTGGGTTGTGCAAAGCTAGTGTCAGAAGTAGACTGCTTCATTTAAGGAGCTCTCGATGAACTTTTTACCTCTGACAGTTCGGATCATAACGACAGAAAGTCAATCTGGAGAGACGGGAACGAGGGGGGAGAGTATGCAATTGCTGGTACTGATTAAGTTTGTTGAAGTTTTGGGAGATGTTACCTTAGGTTGCACGTCTGTCCCTATATGTCTTCAACAGTAATGTGGAGATACTGCTGCTTTCATATCTGGAGGGATGATGGTTAGGAATGAGGAGATGCTCCAATGCAAACTGGCCTGCACTCTAGGAAACAGTTGATGTTGCAGAAACACCTAAGAATGTAGTTTGCTTTTACATTTGATGAACCTCCGAAGGTACTTTGAAGGGTCTGATGTCTTCATTGTGGAGAGTGATGGGTCAAAGAAACAGATGGAAGTTGTAGTGACCTTGCTTTATATGGTTTATGTCTCACAGTTTTAAGGTACTCCAAAAAAAGGAAATCAACACAGGACACATCATCTTGGTCTTGTAAGGGGACTGATCAAGAGATCGCAGGAGATTTGTGGTGGCCTTGAATATGTGGCATCAAGTGGCTTGTTTTCGGGGATATATTTACTTAGTTGTCTACTATCCTCTGAAACCCTTAGTCTTCAAAACTATCTTGTTTTCCTTTATAAGGACATTTGGAGTTGCATCACTTAGGTCAGCGAGGGAAGAATCCTCTGGAAAAGCTTTTTTAAATTGATTATCCACAAATAGTTTGTGTTAAAACTTGCTGCCATACAATTGAGTAAAAAAAATAAAATAAAAAATACAACAAGAGTCATCAATTGGCCTTCCTTATGATTATGTTTATGTATGGTTTTGACCTTAATCTGTTCGTTCTCGAATCCATCTTATTCCAATTGATAGTGAATTGATTTGCCATTTTATGAGCTCACTAAGCCATAACTCATAAGCCAATGCTATATCTCTTGCTGAACTATGATTTTGTGATGTACACGTGGATGTTCTGTTTCCATAAGAACCCTCTTTCTTCTGTCAGCTGTGCTTTTTCTTTTCACTTCAATCAATTCAATTCTATATGGAACTGACATGCATTCTTGTTTCTGGTGTGGCCCTTGCTCAGGCACAAGTTACTGCTTATGTCAAGTATTTTGGACAATTCACCTCTGAGCAATTTCCAGATGATATAGCTGAGGTATGCCTCTCTGTCTCCGCTGAATGTCATATGCCTTATACTTCCTTTTGTTCTCTTAACATATTGTCTTTAACCTACTGACTTGTTTTGACAGTTGATCCGCAGTCGTTATCCATCAGCAGATAAACGCCTTTTTGATGAAGTTCTGGGTAGATATTCTTTACTCATGTACTTCCTTAGACTGTTCTATTATTGAGGAAAGATCAGACAACTTCATGCTAATTGTCACTTTATTTATTTATTTCATATCGAACTCCAGCTACATTTGTCCTACATCATCCAGAGCATGGCCATGCAGTGGTGCTTCCAATTATCTCGTGTTTGATCGATGGTACTCTGGTTTATGACAAAAGCAATCCTCCATTTGCTTCTTTCATATCTCTAGTCTGCCCGAGGAGTGAGGTACATAACTTGGAAAAGTTTGCAAGATGCCTCCTAAAAAAATCAAATACCAAATGCTTAATAAGTATCATCTTTTCTTGATTGATAAAATTTTCTTGTAGCTCAATTTGCCATGAAAACAGTACAGACATATACGATTGATTTTTAAGTATGATCTTTTCTTGTACAGAATGAATACTCTGAACAGTGGGCTCTAGCATGTGGGGAGATCTTACGGATTTTAACTCATTATAACCGCCCAATATACAAGAAGCAGAGTACTGAATCAGATAGAAGCAGTAGTGGTAGTCATGCAACTACAAGTCAGTCAACAGACGGAGAATCCTGCAGTTCACCGCCGTTACAGCAGGAAAGGAGGCCTTTAAGACCATTGTCTCCCTGGATTACTGATATATTACTTGCGGCACCTCTTGGTATCAGAAGTGACTACTTCCGCTGGTGAGTCACAATGATTTTCTGAGCACTTCCTATCATTTAGGAATCCTGATTTGTGCTGTCATGTATCAACTTTCCTGGAGGGATGTATGGATATTGATCCTAAGCAGATTAGGTGGATTGGCCGTAGTATGTTTCATAGTTTGGGAGGAAGCAATTTGTTTCATAGCTCCCAAATCTCTAAATTTAATTAGTGATTAATTTATTTGCCAATTTATCAGAGAAAAATGGAATGATATTCAAGTTACAACAAAGAGTAAGTGATTAATTCGTCATTAGCTTCAATGGTTGTAAATGGTCAATTGCGGTGGCCATAAAGCTATTGCTTTTTCATAAACTGAAACTCCTTGTCTTTTTTTCTTCAGGTGCAGTGGTGTTATGGGTAAGTATGCAGCTGGAGAGCTCAAGCCACCAATAACTGGTTTGTTTAGTTCCCTTCATAATATATAAAATGAATGCATTTGGCTTCGATAGACCACTCTGGATCTAGGAACAACAAAGCGTGTACTCTATCATACAACATTTTGTAATTATTCATCTTTCCCCCCCTTCAGCTTCTTCTCATGGATCCGGGAAGCATCCTCAGCTGATGCCATCAACTCCAAGATGGGCTGTCGCAAATGGTGCTGGTGTCATACTAAGTGTGTGTGATGAGGAAGTTGCTCGATATGAGACTGCAACGTTAACTGCAGTTGCTGTCCCTGCTCTCTTACTCCCTCCTCCGACTACAGCTTTGGATGAGCATTTGGTTGCCGGGCTGCCAGCTCTGGAGCCTTACGCACGTTTGTTTCACAGGTGAATCTACTGATCACATTGTTAATTTAATTTCGGGAATTTTACATGCTCCTGCACTTTCTCATTATTGCATTACTATTGTCTAGATATTATGCCATTGCGACCCCTAGTGCAACACAAAGACTGCTTCTTGGACTCTTAGAAGCACCTCCATCATGGGCTCCAGATGCACTCGATGCTGCAGTACAGCTTGTGGAACTCCTCCGAGCGGCAGAAGATTATGCAAATGGCATCCGAGTGAGTTGGCATTATCATTAGCAAACTAGTTATATCCCTGATGAAAATTTGGATTACACGATGTCAAGATGCACTTGTGCTACTGACTTTAGCTTTCATTATCAATGTGCTAATGACCTTTCGATCTCATGTTTCTTTTTCTTCGTAAATCTTTAAATGCAGCTTCCCAGGAACTGGATGCATTTGCATTTCTTGCGTGCAATAGGGACTGCAATGTCGATGGGACCCGGAATTGCTGCCGATGCTGCTGCTGCTCTACTCTTCCGTATATTATCGCAGCCTGCATTGCTCTTCCCTCCTCTGAGACAAGTTGACGGAGTCAAAGTTCAGCATGAACCTTTAGGTGAATACATCTCAAGCTACAGAAGACAGGTAAATATGAGCGTCAGATTGATGTGTCTTTTAATTGCAGTAGAGCCATGAACATGAACATGACCCAAAAAAGATTATCAATGACCAGATAGAAGTGCCAGCAGCCGAAGCAACCATCGAAGCTACCGCCCAGGGAATCGCGTCCATGCTATGTGCACATGGTCCTGAAGTAGAGTGGAGAATCTGCACCATATGGGAAGCTGCCTACGGCCTAATTCCTCTTGGTTCATCGGTTGTTGATCTCCCCGAAATCATCGTTGCAGCTCCACTGCAACCTCCAACACTTTCATGGAACCTCTACATTCCTCTACTGAAAGTCCTTGAGTACCTCCCCCGCGGAAGCCCCTCGGAAGCATGTCTAATGAAGATATTTGTCGCTACCGTTGAAGCTATCCTCCGCCGGACATTCCCACCGGAATCTTCTTCCTCTGCCACCGAACAAGCAAGTAAAACAATGAGCTATTATCATCAGTCTGCTTCCAAGAACCTTGCTGTAGCAGAACTCCGCACTATGGTGCACTCGCTCTTCCTCGAATCATGTGCTGCACCAGAGCTGGCTTCCCGCTTGCTCTTCGTAGTGCTGACTGTCTGTGTCAGCTACGAAGCTCAGACCTCAAATGGCGGCAACAAGAGACAAAGAGGTGGCGATTTGAGGTCTAGGAAGACAAGGAAGCAAGGGCCTGTCGCTGCCTTTGATTCGTATGTTCTCGCTGCCGTTTGTGCCCTAGCTTGTGAGCTCCAGCTGTTCCCTTTCATTTCTCCTCATGGTGGGATGAACAACAACAGAAATTCACAGTGCGGAGAAGCCAAATTGCCTGCAAAGATGAGTAATGGATCATCTTCAGCGATTGGTGATATGAGGAGCAGCATTGATTCTGCAATCAATCATACTCGGCGATTGCTGGCAATTCTGGAAGCTCTGTTCTCATTGAAGCCGTCGTCCGTTGGGACATCGTGGGGTTACAGCTCAAACGAGATTGTTGCGGCAGCTATGGTCGCTGCTCATGTATCGGAGCTATTTCGGAGGTCGAAAGCTTGTATGCATGCTCTCGCTGTCTTCATTCGCTGCAAATGGGATGAAGAGATACACAGCAGGGCTTCATCGCTGTACAGCCTCATCGACATCCATAGTAAAGCGGTGGCTTCCATAGTAAACAAGGCAGAACCCTTGGAAGCGAGTTTTTCAGTGCCTGTCTGGAACAAGTCCCTTCTGGCTTTTGAAGGTAAGAAGAAGAATCGAAACGGAAGCATTGGTGGTGGGTTTGAAACAGGTCAATCATCTGGTCAGCAACCTGGGGAATCTTCATATCTAGAGGCGAAGGTGAAATCAGGGAAGGGGATTGAAGGGTTCTCGTTGGATGCTTCGGATTTGGCAAATTTCTTGACAAAAGATAGGCACCTTGGATTCAGTTGCAGCGCGCAAGTTCTGCTGAGATCGGTTCTTGCTGAGAAACAAGAACTGTGCTTCTCAGTTGTCTCTCTGCTGTGGCACAAGTTGATAGCAGCGCCCGAAACTCAGCCTAGTGCTGAAAGCACTTCTGCCCAGCAAGGATGGAGACAGGTATGTGTAACTTCCAACATATAAACTGGACATTAGAGAAAAAAACTTGTTTAGTATGTGGTATAGTAAGGGTATTAAACGAGTTGAAATATGCAGGTCGTTGATGCGATGTGCAATGTGGTGTCAGCTTCACCAGCGAAAGCAGCTACAGCAGTTGTTCTTCAGGTCTAAATTTTGTTTTCTCTTTTACATTTCTCACGAAGTGAAGAACTACAGGCAATTTTATATGCATCTGCTATTGAGACTTTTTTTTTATGAGAAATTTAGATCACTTTCATGACCGTGTATTACTGTCAGGCGGATAGGGAATTGCAACCTTGGATTGCCAAAGATGACGAGAACAGTCAAAAGATATGGCGAGTCAATCAGCGGATAGTCAAGCTAATTGGTGAGCTCATGCGAAATCACGACACCCCTGAATCATTGGTGATCTTAGCAAGTGCGTCAGATCTGCTTCTACGCGCCACAGATGGGATGCTCGTCGATGGGGAAGCTTGCACTTTGCCTCAATTAGAGGTGACAAACCAACCATAAATTGTCTCTCTCTGGCTTATCACATTTCCAAGTGAACCATATGTTTGTTTCAGTAATCTGGTCAGCTTATTAGGCCTACTGATTTTCAGGGTCAATTACATCAGAACTCGCTGAGAAATCAGTCAATTTGATCTTTAATAGATGTGTCACAGAGGTCTGAAGTAACTAACAGAAGAACTACTCTGTCCACAAACGTTAAGTTCTGTGTAGCAAAAACGTCACAATATAGACACTTGTTCGAATAACATACAGGGAAAGTGAGGGATTATGGTAGTTTCAAGTAAATATGGGTTGGATTCGGGTTGAGCAACGAGTCTAGTTAGGATCAAATTGTGAGTTATAATAGGTGTTCTATAGCTAGGATTCATCATGACTTTTTCCTGTTAGTAGTTTGAGGATCGGCACATTAGCCTGAACAATTCTGATGAAAAAGATGGACTTGGCGATTGATTGGTTAGTGTTCATGTTATGTATTCCTTTTATCTGTGACCTAAAACTATTGCAAATTTCAACCTTAACAGCTACTGGAAGCAACAGCGAGAGCAGTTCGGCCAGTGGTGACTTGGGGAGAAACGGGATGTGCTGTTGCGGATGGTCTCTCGAATCTCCTCAAGGTAAATAAACCCCGAAAAAATCTTGTCATGCAAGCTACTGTCCAGCTACAAAATTTCTTGTCCACGAAGGCATTGTGAATATGACACAGTTCTTCATTGAATGCAGTGTCGTCTACCAGCAACAGTCCGATGCCTATCTCACCCCAGCGCTCACGTCCGAGCTCTGAGCATGTCGGTACTCCGGGACATCCTGCACAACACGTCGATAAAAACGTTCCACAAGCATGCCGAGAAGAATGGCGCCAACGGTACTCGTTCCTCGTACCAGTACTTCAATGTCGACGTCATCGACTGGCAAGCAGACATCGACAAGTGTTTGGCATGGGAAGCTCACAGCCAACTGGCGAGAGGGATGCCTATCGAGTTTCTCGACGCTGCAGCAAAGGAACTAGGTTGCACCATCTCTATCTGACATGATCATCATCACTTACAGGCCACAGATCAAAGCTACACACGATTTTTCGTTCTCAGTATATAGTCAGGGAGCTGACGGCGGAAGGGAGTAGAGCTGCTGAATAGGGGTCAATCAATCATGATCAAAGAATGGGGTGTAGTGTAATACTTCTTCATGATGTTGTTTGGTTTCTGTTTCCAGCTGCTGCTCTGTTTCCAAGTCCATATGTTGTATCTTATTCGTGCTTTTTTCGGGGATTCGACGACAATGATGGGTTTTAGAACAAAGAAAGAACTGAGAAATTGAGTTATGTTGATATACATTGGAGTTTCTCTTTGTGTATTCAAAAGATGAAATTGATGTAATGTTGATATATTAGAGTTCGTATATTGGGAACTATATATGACATAGAGAGCAGCTCCGCTAATTAAGGGGTTAGTTTCGCAACCACGTAAACTTTCAGTGACTAAAACTGAAATTAGCCATAACCTTTTATACGGTGCGTTTCATTTTTGTATTCGCTACGCTCTAGACTTCCGTTCCTCCTTCCTTAACCTTTGATCAACGGCAGCACAAAGAGTCGCCGGCTTCGCAGTCCTTCTCCGCGCCCAAATCCAGCCACCGCCGCTACTCCCTCGAAATCGCAGAACCCGGCGGCGGAAGTCTACGCCGACATTTTCCTTTCCCGGGATTACTTCTAGTTCGACTGTCCATTAGTCGTACGCAGGGACGAAGCAGGTAACTCGACTGAATCTCTATCTTCGTTTGCTGAGATTTTCTTTCTTCTGCTGAATCAGAACCCAATTAGTGGGCGCGAATACACAGATTGGCTGCCTCTCCGTTTTGATTTTCAGCGATCCGGATGCCTTCTGGGCCGATGAATGTCTGAAAATTTAGCTTTTGTTCATGAAGTGCTCCAACATTTTTGAGCTAGGGTTTGGGGTTTTAGGATTTGCTTTTCCTGCTGTGGCTTCTTCTGCTTAAATTGCAATTGATTAGCTCATTAGCTCAGAAGAAGTGAACAAACCTGCTTGTTTTGCTAGTTGGGTTTTCTAGCTCAGGTTTCTGTGGCGTGGTATTTTGGTGATAGAACCGTCTTCAGTGACAGCTCTACTTAGCTTCTGTTTCATATCGACCTCGTTGAATCATGTTGAGAGTGCTCAGTTTTATGTCAGCATTCGTCGTTGATGTTTGGGTAGGCTTTGTACGCATTTTTTAAAATGGTGACATTTCCCTCAAGATGTCCATTTTCATGATGCAATTTTAGCTTTTGATATAACTCCTAGAGCTAACTTCTTCTATTTGATCAAATAAAGAACTAAGAAGGATATTTCTATCACATGTTTCTGAAGTCTTAAGTTCATAGTTCAAGTGCTTCAAGATAGCTTTACTGTTGGTCGACTCTGTGTGTAATTGCTTTCAAAGTTCTGTAAGCGAGCTTTCCTATTCCTTTTTCAGCAGCTGGTTCGATCTCTTGATGCAACTTCATTTCAAAATGGCAGGTGCAAAGATGCAAGTCATTCCTAGTGAAAACCCTCTCTCGGTTTCTGGTCCCAGGCCCATGGAATGGTCGACTGTTCCATACGCTGGTCCTGGAGGACCTGCTTCCAACGGTAAAAACCGAACTTCAAGCTTGGAGTCACCCATAATGCTGCTTACTGGTCATCAAAGTGCCATCTACACTCTTAAATTCAACCCCACCGGAGACCTCATTGCATCGGGTTCACACGACAAGGAGATATTCCTGTGGAATGTCCACGGCGATTGCAAAAACTTCATGGTCCTAAAGGGCCACAAAAATGCAGTCCTCGATCTCCACTGGACCACCGACGGATCAATGATTATATCAGCCAGCCCCGACAAAACTGTCAGGGCATGGGACGTCGAGACAGGGAAACAGATCAAGAAAATGGCCGAGCACTCGTCATTCGTAAACTCGTGCTGTCCTTCCAGGCGTGGCCCGCCACTCCTCGTCAGTGGTTCTGATGACGGGACAGCCAAGCTCTGGGACCTACGCCAGCGCGGCGCCATCGGGACGTTCCCTGACAAGTACCAGATCACGGCAGTGGGGTTCTCCGATGCTTCGGACAAGATATTCACAGCTGGAATCGACAACGAGGTGAAGGTGTGGGACATCAGGAAGGGTGAAGTGACGATGAAGCTCGAGGGGCATCAGGATATGATCACTGGGATGCAGCTGAGCCCCGACGGATCTTATCTCTTGACCAATGGTATGGATAATAAGCTGTGTATTTGGGACATGAGGCCTTATGCGCCACAGAATCGGTGTGTGAAGATTTTGGAAGGGCACCAGCACAACTTTGAGAAGAATCTGCTGAAATGTGGGTGGTCTCCTGATGGAAGCAAGGTTACTGCTGGTAGTTCTGATCGGATGGTCTATATATGGGATACTACCACTCGAAGGATACTGTACAAGCTTCCTGGCCATACTGGCTCGGTCAACGAGTGTGTCTTTCACCCGACTGAACCGATTCTTGGATCGTGCAGCAGCGACAAGCAGATTTACCTTGGGGAGATATGATTAAGAGTAGCCACGAACTGTGCCAACCGCGAACCGTTGGAAGCATCGTTTTGGCCTTTGGGTGTATGGGGGTAGTGTCTTGTGTTGTATCGTTTAGGTTTCTTGCAACCTGAGCTTGAAGTTTGAACCTTTGATTTAAAGGCCCGTCTTTCCTTAGGGCAATGTTCTATTATTTACTGATGTTTTCTGATACTGCTGTGGGGTTTTTTTATCTTATTCATCCGCATTGAACTGGAAAGTCTGGGACTGTTAATAACTCGCATAAAACTCCAGTGACTATTAATGTAATTTACATTCTTTTCGAAGAGACGACGCCGTTTATGTTAAACCGAGGCGTTTCGTTCAGCACAAATGGGCTTTGGGCCTTCTTGTCCTTTACATATCTTGCCAGGCAGTGGTCAAGTGCGGTGACCCTCACGGCACTTAACCATAGACCCAGATTGTCCTTTCTCTCCGTTTCAGCCTCTGCTTTCCTTTCATTTTTCTCTGAGTGGCGTATATATAGAAACCAAATTTTTTTTTCCAAAGGAACAAAAAAGAGGAAACGCATAGAGGAGAAAAAACGGGGCAGCCCCCATTCGCTCTTCCAGTGAGATTTCGTTTCGACCTTAAACGTAGGGTGAAGGAAGGGAAGAACCCTAGACGGTTCAATAAAACACAAAAAAAAGTCGAATTGGTGGGGATTATCGATTGATTTTTTTTGGGTTGTCTTGCGAATTGGTGGAATTCTGCGTTGTGGGATTTGTGTTGGGAGATTGAAAGGTGTGTTCTTTGGTCTCTCTGAATCCCTGTTCGGTGGGGTTCGCCTGAGGGATTTTTTTACAGTTTTCTTCGTTTTGGGTTCACGAGCGATGGGGAAGAAGAGGAAATCCGTGGCGACGAGCCTGGATGAGGTGGATCGGACCATGTACACGACGTTCTGCAGCGCCGCCAGCTCCCTGACTCAGCTCTACACCCAGGCCATGAATCACCAGAAGCTCACTTTCCAAGCTGGGGAGCGTCACGGCCTTGTAAGATCTCCCCTCTTTTTCTTAACCCTGATTTTATCCGTGTCGGCGATGGAATTTTTTTCCTGTTTGTGGCAATTGTTGCATTTTGTTGTTGATTGCTGTCTGTGTGGATAGACTTTTGGAGTTGGAAATCTATGGGGATGGCTTTTGTTTGGATTCTTGCTTATGTGTGATGGTTGTCGTGATTTGTTCAGTTTACTGGTTTCATCTGAAGCACATGTTGAAGTTTTTGGTGGAGATAAGATGCTTTTGTTGGCCATATGTGGCTTAGGTTTACTTTTGAGTGTTTCTAGCCATTCAGTGGAGGCGTTGAAGGAAGCTGGCAATTGAAGATAATTTCTTTTATGGAGTCCCCTATTTCACTTGCAATTGAAGATGGTTTTACTAGTTGGACCCGCAGGTAGTGTAAGGAAGATAAGAAATTAATGATAATCGAGCCATTAGGGAGGGAGTGAATACATAATCGAGCCATTAGGGAAGTAAATGCTGCTTCTGTTTACCCTTAGTGAAGTTTTGTTTGAGAGGGTCATATAGTGAAGAGGAAAGTTGTGATTTTTTCTTAGTGGAAAAGTTTTGATATGATCAATTAAGGTTAAGTGTTTGCTGCTGACTTGGGTAGTGCCTCGTAGGAGTTTTCATGGTTGCCTTCCAGTAGGATTTTAGTTCTTAGCTTGTAGGTTGCCTCTCTTGCTCTCTTCTGGCCAAATTTGGTCTGGCTTTACTTTTATTTTTAGCAGGGTCTTTGTTGTCTTTTATTTTGTGTTCTATAGCTTCTTGATTAGATTGTTTTTGTACATTAGATACATGATTATCCTGGCTTATGTGCTCATCTGTATCATATGTACAGGAAAAACTCTACCAGTGGATTTGGCGGCAGCAAGAGGCTGGTTCGAGGGTGGCAACTTCTGATGTCCTCAATTATATTCAGGTTAGTCTGAACTTTTCATGGCTAATAGATTCTGTTAGTATACAATCATATTAATGAAATATTCAACTTCACACACAGACCTTGTGATTTGGTTCGTGTCTGTTTGATATGTGTGGCTAATAACATCATACATAAATTACTGTTATCCTCTGCAATTAATCAAATCAATTTTGTATCATGCTGTAGAATGAGCTGGATTACTGTGGAGAAGAGCCATCAATGTCTCCAAGAGCACAACCACAGAACATCCAACCACCAATGCAGTCATTGAGTTCCGGCTTTCTGAATTCCTCAATTTCATCAGGTTCTTCTGGACCAACAAGTGTTAGCCAAGTCAGCCGCAACGAGCACTGCGATCAGCAGTCGAAGAACTCAGTCTTCTCCAATGCTTTGTCCAGCCCAGTCCGAAGAAATCTCCAGAACTACCACATTGCTCAGGGCGGCGGCTATTACCCAGCTGGTGCAGCAGCGCCTCCTCCTGGGAACGGACCCCGCAACAACGACAGCACCTTTCTTCAGCAACAAAACCGGGATACGCATTCTAATGATTCCTCTATGGACATCTAGGAAGGACGGTAAAGGGGTTTTGTGCCACGTGCCTGGTCGAATAGACAACGAAGGCATTGCATTTGCAAAACCCTGTTTAGTCTACCTGCTGGTTCATGTGGTCTCTTTAAGGCTTGTGGAACCAAACAGGTTAGCATCAGATGAAGCAATAATCAGATGCTGCTGCTACTGGTGCTACTAGTTGAAGTGTGCATGCTGATGAAGACGAAGAAGAAGAGGAAGATTGAAGAATGCTGAAAGTTCGACCATTGGGGGCGTTTCTGCTCGGTGCTGAAAGGCTTTTTCATTAGTTGGGGTTGTTTGGTTGAAAGTTATATCTGGTTTCTGTCATCCTTTCTGTAATTCTGATTTTCATTTTGAAATGGTCATTCTGAATTGGTTTGAGGGGGTGGGAGTGATCGATCACCATGTAAAGAGAGCTCTTTGTTTGTTAATTTGGTGGCAATCTCTTTCTCTGCTGTCTTCTTCTTCTTCAATGTTTCTATTGTTAGTGTAAGGTGGTCTCTTGTTTGCTGTAACTCTTCTCTTTTACTATTGTAGCTTTGTCTAGTCATATGCTATAGCGAGACATTATGGTTAAAGTAGAAATTTCCTCAATCTATCATGTTGAAGGCCAGTTCCTTTGTTATTCTATTGAAATGTCTATATGTTAGGGGAAAACAAAATTGCATTGTTAGTCGAGTGGATATATCGTAAGGAGGGCGTTTGACCTTGAACTTGTTATGACAGTACTTTGTGGCTTCCTTTCAAGAAAGATGAACAATGTGTCTAAGTGTGCACTTATAGATCGAGTAACTTCATTTCTCTCCCTTTTTACAATAAATTGGGGTTATCGTTACAAAGTTAGGTTGAGTTAAGTTTGTGCGATTCCATTAACGTAAGTTCAGATCCAATTCAACAATATTTAGTTAGACCATAAGTCCCTAATTCACCACCAACTAAACTAAACAATTAAGGAAAGCAATGATTAGTAATTAAACACATTATTACTTACCATCTTCATACAAAGCAAAGCACTTTAAAAGCTAAGCTTACCAAACAAAAGCAAACTTTCCCTTTACAGTTTACCCCCTCGCACTTCCCATGAAAAGGTGAGACCTTTCCTCATATTAAAATAGCTTCCCTTATGTTCAAAGAAGATGTTAATTTCAAAGTTCATAAAAAAGACATATCCCCAAATAAAATCCTGTAAAATAATTAATTAATGGAAGTGAAATATTAGAGGAACTCGAGTCGTTTGGTTTTGGCGATAGTTAAATCGATGTATGGTCAATAGTAAATGCATAATAATATATATGTATATAAGAAAATTGGTGTGATAGTTTGTGTCAAATCTCCATCAAACAATCTCAAAGAAAACTTGAGATTTAACTATTACTCATTTTGAGTGATAGTTTGTGTCAAATCAAGCAAACAATGCATATATTGTTTGCGCAGAAATCGTTTGGAAGTTGCGAATGTTAAATCGTTGCATTGTAATGAATCACCATAATATAAATGCATGTATTGAAACAATAGATACATTTTAACAATACATTGTTTGGTTGTTGAGATTCTATTTTATGCATTGATTTACATAAAGTTACTTTTATGGGGAATGTCACATTTATCCTTAACTTTTAGAATAAGACAAAAACTATTGGGGATATAAATGGAAGGAAAAAGTTGACACAAATCTAAAACCAACAATCATAACTTTTAGTTGAGATTGTATAATGCATCATTTTTTGTGATTGTTGGTGGGACCTACCTAAAACAATGCATGCATTGTTTAACACTTTGGCACTTCCAAACATTGTATTGTGCACAATAGATGTATTCAACAAACACAATTCTAACAATCACAACTTCCAAATAAAAATAAAAAAACGATGTATTGTGGACATTACATGCATTGTAACTATCACAACCAACTATCACCAAAACCAAACGATCCCTCAAAATAATGAGTTAAGATATAATATTTTTTACATTGAATATGTTTTTTACTCTACAAAAATTATCAAGTATTATTTTTTTTTAAAAATTTCTATCCAGAAATTGTCAAGTGTTTCAGATTATTATAGAGTAAAAAAGCAGTAATATAACAATTAACAAGCCTAAATTATTCCTAAATTGGGAGGCTGGTCAATGTAACCTTTTCAAGTAGGCATTAAAATTCACTAAGGGTCGTTTGGAAGTTGGGAGTCTATGAATATGTGTATTCTTGCAATGTATGTATTCTAAGTATAGTGATTGTAAGAAATAGATGATTGTAAGAATATGTTGTTTGGTAGTTGTGATTATTACTTTTGAAGAATATAAGAATTCTCACTTTAATGACCAAAATGACTTATATAGCCTTGAAATTCTCTTTATATAATCATTGAAGGAGGGGCAAATATGAAATATATAAAAAAGAATAAGGATAAGTGTGCAAAAAAGCAATTAAAAAAGTAAAGTAAGAGAATCTCACCTTTTTGTAGAGATTCTAAAATGGATGATTCTAACCATTTGAGATTCTAAAGTTTCATTTAAATGCATGCATTCTGAATAAGTTTATTTCAAAAAAATATGGATTGTAAAAAATACACACATTCATAGAATCACTCATCTAAACTCCTAACTTTCAAAGGACCCCTAAATATTTGACTCACCATGGAAACAAAAAAGGAAAAAATATACAAAAATCCCCCCACCAATTATTCCTTTTTCTTCCTTTTCATGAAAATGAATGCCGGTCCGGTCCATCTTCAAATATTAATTAATTCATTAATTATATATCCTTTTCTCTTTTGTATTTTTTTTTTGGTGCGAATTATATATCCTTTTCCATTTGTCTGTTATATTATTTTCCCTCATTCACCCCTTTTTTGGCTTCCGTTTTTTTTATTTTTATTTTTTGTGCAGTTCAGCAGCTTCCTTCCTTCTTTGCTCTTCTCTCTCTTTGAGTCGCCTCTAATTCCTCGCCGATTTTATTCGATCCGTCGCTCGCCGGCGCCGTCGTTTTAGTCCCCGACAATCTCTCTCACAGATCTGCTGCGTTGCGTCGCTTTCAGGTATGCCGTTTGTTGTTTGGCTTCCGCGAAATCACTACCAGCCAGAGAATTTTTTTTTTGTGGAATACAAAAAAGTAGAATCTCAGACGCTGAGCAGCAGTTTCTCGATGTTCTATTTGCTTTGATGGGTAGTTGTTTCGGGGGAAAGGTCTCCAATTGTCGATCATCTCAATTCGAAGTTGAAGCCATGGCTTCGCTTGTTTGATTGGATTTGCTTCTTTGTTTTGTTTTGCTGTTTTCTTGAATGGTTAGACTACGGCGAGTGCAGAAGAAGCGGCGCCATTGATGGAACCTTTTCGTTTCCCCCCAATCCGTTTAGTGTAGATCTCGTCGAGTAGATCCGGCTTGTTAGTGGCGGATGACTGGTGAATTTCTTTTTTGAGCAAATTGTAACTCTTGCTGTTTGTTTCTATCTGATTTCCCCCGTTTTTCTAATCCTTGCTTTCTGGGTTCGCATGTGGATCAGCTTGATGGAGTCTTTTTCCTTTTCTTCCTTTTTTGCTGTGATGTTTGATAATGGCTTTTTTCCGTGGAGGGAGTGGGGGAAAATGGATTCGTGAAACCTGTTTGGTAAGAGTATTCAATGGTGATGTTTGGTAGTTTCCAGCATTGCATGATCGATCACTTTCCTTCCTCTCATCCTTTTGTCGGGTCTATTTCTCTTGGGTTTAACTCGTGAAAGAGACGTCTTCTTCACATGATCTTTGAAAGGGCGGAAAAAAGGTAACTTTGTGTATATAATTGGGAAAGAAGGGAGGTGTCAACTCATCAAGCTAATGTTGACAGCTACTGTAAAATAAAAAAAATTCTTTGGCCGGTTTGTCTTTTCATGTTAGCTCATCCTGCCGTTTTTCTTCAGTGGGTTGAAACTTAAAATTCTTCTTCTGGAGCTGGTTGGTTGATAGGTTTTACCTGTTTCGTTAAATATGGTGGATTCTCTTGTCACTGAGCTGTGATAAACTGGCTGACACTGAAATAATGATGTTAACAGGCACAAGGGCAAAAAGAGGGGGTTACAAAAGAATGTAAATTTGGGTGCCCCAGATGATTAGGACAAATGTTATTTGCAGTGGAAGGAGGAGGATTCTTCTCTTCTTCAGCTTCAGGGTATAGTAAGGGACTGACCCTGCTTCTCTTGGGTCATCAGAAGCAAGAAGAGAGCAAACCCATGAAAGTAGCGCCGTGGAATCATTACCAGTTGGTAGACCAAGGAGAACCAGAGCCTGATCTCCAGCTGGCTTCCCTCAAGAATCGAGTTTCCCGCGGCTGTGCCGCTTCCTTGGTCTGCTTTGGTCGCGCTTCCGCAGGAGTCGATTCCTCCTCCCCTTCTTCTCATCCGAAAGTAGGTCCTGCCCAGCACCAGGATGCGTTGCCAGTAGATGATCTTAAAGAAGATATAACAATAGCTGAGATTGAAGATGATAAGAATGCTTCTAAAGCAGCTTCACTAAAGAGCAGCTTGAAGAAGTCGTCGTTAAATCACGTTTCTGTTCCTGTAGAGGATGCGGGTGAACATGCTGTGTTGAACGAGCAAGTTAGCGATAGCCCTGGCCACAATGGTAGAAGAAAAGTACAGTGGACAGATGCTTGTGGTAGTGAGCTTGCTGAAATTAGGGAATTTGAGCCGAGGTACGCGACTTTATTATCTCCTGATGAATCAGCGTTTATATCCTGTTAGATGGTAGTCCATCATTTGTTTGGTTGAGAACTAAGTTGCTTCTTTTCTTTTGGGTACTGATTTTCTGACTGCTCTGGATTCTGATCAACAAATATGTGTAACTTTAAGCTGAGAGTTCTCTTCCTCACTTGGAGTTTTATCATTTATGACCTCTTAGACTGATAGTAATCCCATGAAAGATGAAAGTTCCATTATGGAGTTGCATCTGGATTGGCATAGTTATGACTCGCAGCACATTGAGGTGTTAACCAAACTGGTATAAACTGACTCTTGTTTTAAGGGATGTGATGTAAAGATGCGTAATGGAACATCGAACCCTTCATCTATGTCCAATTGGTGTGTTCAGGATTGGAGACTGGAATAAGCTCGTGTAATGAAATTTGTCATGAAGCACCGTATCTACTCTTTTAGGTGTTACTAACTGATGGGTAGCTGATTCCAATATCACAAGACCATGAAACGTCATTAGTTAGTGATAAAGACGTATGTGAGAGTTGGATAGACATAGAAGTCCATGTTTCTGAAGCATAACCATTTTTAGGCCTCAGAGCAAGAACCTTCTTGAATCATTGTGTTTGTTTGGGGGTCATCTACATTGACAATCCCTTTTGATTGAGTTTGTTTGCAATGAATCCTGCTGTACTGAAATGCTTTCCTGATGATTGATGAATGTCTGGCTGGCAGTGAACTGGGCTTATCTGATGACGAATTCGACAATGGCCGGGAAAGAAGTTGTTCATGCAATATTATGTGAGAGAGAGATTCAAATGGGGCCTAAAATGGTCACAGCTTGCTTTGGAGATGACAGAAAGCAAAGTAGAAGGGTGAAGCTTTTTGGCTGAACTTATGACTGGGGAGGCACCTTGTCTGTACATTTTCTGCTAACTGAGGTGTATCTCTGCTGCTGTTCGTGAAGAAGGAAAGGGCTGTGAGAGTCGTTTAGATGGGGAAATGAATGCTTGGCGCGGAAGAAAAGAACTCGGTTCCTGTTTTTCGATTCGAGCCTCTTTGGAGGAATTTGATCATTTTTCAACCATTTTCCTTTATGTATTCATTTTTTTTGCTGGGTTAGAGAAGGAAGAAATGGAGAAAGAAGAAAGAAGAAAGAATGTGGTTTAAATTTTGCTGGCCTTCTTCCTTATTCTTAGTTGTTGTCCTTGTGATGATATTCCAATTCGGTTCCGGATTCCTGGTGGTGTCAATTGTATGTGTTTTGGTTTCTTATTCATCCAATATTTACGGATTCATATCGTACTTAGATACAAATTTACGAATTTGAGACCTCGAGATTCAAAACCAGCTTCTGTGAAATAATGCAGAAGTCAAACGCTTTTGGGTTATTTGACCTGAAAAAAAGAAAGAAAAAGAAACCCCTGTTGATATTAGGCAAAATGTGGATATATGAAATCCAAGAAACTTGGCGCCACATTATCCACACACATCATTTTGTGCTTTCCTGATAACGCCCCAAATCCCACAATTTTCCCCTCAAATTCCCACCTTTAAGAACAACAACAAAGAAGGAGACTTTTGCTCGGCATCGAATCGGGGCAACCATGTCAGTTTCGTCTCCATTCCCATCGCCTTGCTCCGCCGCGTCTCCCTCTACGTCCGCCGCCACTTCTTGTTCTTCTTCAACTTCCGTCCGATTCAGAATCTCCGCCACCGCCGCCGCCGCCGCTGGCACCAGGTCGTGTTATTACCAGGGTGTCTCCATTCGGAGCTCACAAGCCGAAGGCCCGATTCGCAGGCCCGTCGCGCCGTCGCCGCCGTCAGCTGCTTCCACTCCGTTGAAGCCCCCCGTGCCTCCTTCACCTCCGTCTTCTCCGCCGCCGCCGACGCCGGTGGTGGCTTCTGCACCCCGATTGGGCGTTGCGGAGGGTAAGGGCACGGTGACTTTGGAGTTCCAGAGGCAGAAGGCTAAGGAGCTTCAGGAGTATTTCAAGCAGAAGAAGCTTGAGGAAGCGAATCAGGGTCCTTTCTTTGGGTTCATTGGCAAAAATGAGATTTCTAATGGAAGGTAACCATAACTGAACCAACTAAATCGTTTTTCTTTCTTGGATTTATGGAAGATTAGTTTCAATTTGGTGCTTGAATTTCTTTGGTAGCAAATTAGCAATGGCTTAAGCTTGTGCTTGCTTGGGGACTACGAGTAATGTTGAGTTGAATTGGAACTGGGTCTATAGTTGGTAGGGTTTGAAGATGATAAAGCCGATACATTTGAGCTGAATTCGGCCTCTGGAGGAACCGAGTTCAGCCATTATCATGGCTGCAAGTTCTCCATCCCATCTCTCACAATAACAAGAAATTGAAGCTGAAACCCATTTGTCTTAGCAGTAAAATGGCTCATCTTTGTATGTCACAAGACTTAATCCGGCTGCCTGGCGAATGGCAATGCCAACTTTAGTTGCAGGTAGGCAGCCACAATTGAGTTTAATCTGACATTGGAATGAAATCAGTTGCTCAATCAACCAAGTGCCATTGTTCTTGCTAGAACCTTCCATCTGCACTGAAACCTGCATTCGTGTTCTACTCGGTCAGAGCTCTAACCTGCTAGCATATCATGATAATGGGGCATTTATCATTTCCTTATCAAAAGGAAAAATCTTGTATTGGAATGAAATCAGTTTATCAATCATCGAAGTGCCATTGTTCTTGCAAGAACCTTTCCATCTTCTTCACTGAAACCTGCATTCATGTACTACTCTGTCAAGCTGTAACCTACTAGCAGCATATCATGATAATGGGGGCATCTCGGATCATTCTGCATTGCATGACTCGGCGTTTTCTTTCTGTGGTGTCACGAGCAGATGGGCGATGTTCGGTTTCGCTGTTGGGATGCTGACGGAGTATGCAACAGGGTCGGACTTTGTCGATCAAGTCAAGATCCTTCTCTCCAATTTTGGAATCCTAGACTTGGACTGAAAGAAACCTCTCTGACAAAGTGGGATCACCAGTAGTACATTTGATTGCTACATAAGTTTCTGTACCATATGTCAATGTAGTTTTGCAACTTCTTCTTCTGCTGCTGCTTTCCTTTTGTTCATTGTTTGTTCATCATCCTGAGAACTCTGCTTACTTACCGTTTTCAATTGAGCTTGCCAAAGAAGCACAGTCTTTGTTATTTACACAGTTACACTGAATATCATAATCAAGCTGCTGTTGGCCGTTGTGGTTGTGAGAGGTTATCCACAACCCCAACGTTCAACGGCATTTCTCTCTATTTCAGCCAACTTAGCATCGATCCGCTATTTGATTTGCATTCAACAGTTGAGTGAATCGTTGAATCATCGCCACCATTGTTGCTCTCCGTGGTAAAAGACTATCAACACAAACAGCTCAAGAACACGTCAATCCGTTAATTCCACAGTAGATATAAATATAATGACCTCACTAATCATTCTTTAATTCTCCTTATGAATGGATTATGAAATTTGGTTCACAAACTTTGTTAAAAGTGAAAAATGATGCGTACAGATTATGCCCGTCGCGATAAACTACTTAATTTTTGTGACGAGGTGAGGATATAATTGATGATATACACTCCAACAATCAAGTTAAAAACCATATAAGAAATTATGTATGTAGAGAGTTAATATTATCTCTCTAGTGAGCTTGAAGAGCTTGTACTAGAGATGTAGACACTTCGCATTTTCTGTACAATCTTAATTAAAACTAGGACTCTATTCGATTCATCTTAGAAAAAGGGCGTTCGACACTCAACTCGATAAAATCAAATGAAGGAGTTAAAATGAAACTATATCCAAACTGCGTTTTGATATCTCACCGCGTCGCTAGATTATCATAAGCCTTGTTAGTGTTAGCTTCTTATCTCATATTTCAGCGGAAAAAATTAAACTCCTAATAGGATTTTTTTGTTAGGAGATATTTACACGGCCAAGATTGTGGCAGCCGTGATCCAAGGGCTAAGGTTTAGTGGCTCAACGAAGTGCTCATTTAAGTGGATTTTGGTGGCTTTTCGACTGACAATCAAGCCAGCCAAGTGAACAAGTATCCAGCCGAGAAAAACAAGTATCCAAAATGCAAATACTAGTATCGGTCTTTGTTGAAAAATCCTTTTATTAAGACTGAATACAAGTTTTCTCGATTGGCTTGACTCGGAGTCGAGAAGCCACCAAAATCCAGTTAAATGAGTCATTTCTCGAGCTATTGAGTCCCAACCCTTGAATCTCACCGAACTACTAATCGCCCATTCCGCAGCTCTCCTCGTTGCCGGTCACGTCGTATTCTTTTTCCTCCACATTCCAATTTCCGCCACCGTCGTCTCAATTTATAACTGTGGCGTTGCTGGCGACGACGCACTCCCGCCACGCCTCTGTCCTTAACCTATCATGATTCTGTCACTCTCTCCGGCGCGCAGATATCTAATCGCCGTCGTTCAGTAGCAATTTTTTTTGATTCGTCTCGTCGACGAACTTCCTAGAAAAGGAAAGGCCATTGCTTCCTCGTCGGTTGAATCGATAGCTTAGGGTTTCAAAATTTCAACTGCCCCTGGAATTCCATTCCCAGAGGTGCGATTCTGTGTATCTCGAGCGCCATCTCCGGGCGGATAAAAAGTTGCAGGATTTGGCTTGCCCCGGTGGCGATTGATCTGACGAGCGCTTCACCGGAGTTCGTCCTGAATGCGGTGAGAGATTTGAGTTCGTGGAATTGGAGCTTCGAGAGCCTTGTTTCTCTTCCAACTGAGGTTGTGCTTTGAAGGTTTCGGAGTTTTGATCTAGAGTTTGAGAAAATGTCGAGTGGTCAAGTGACGAAGCGGGTGAAGTACAAGACCTCGGTCAAGGACGCTGGAACTCCTGGCCGTCTTTCACTGGTATAGTTGAAAACCTAGCTCAGTTACTTCAAGCTTGGGTCTTTGGATTTTGAGCTGCATTTGGGGTTGTTGGATTGTTCACAGAATTCAGCAGTATCTATAACTATAAGGCAATGTAACTTCATGAGATTGATTATCAAGAGATTTTAGAAATTGATTGTTCGTCTCCATTCCGTTGTGCAATCTACAGGTGAAAGAAAGGTTGGTGTTCAGGCCAAATAATCCGAACTCAGCATCAAAGCTTGACATGCAGTTCAAATACATTACAAGTATACATCTTTTGTTCTCTGCCTTCCTTCATTTCTATTGCTTGTGGAGCAGAAGTCAACTTTACTCATGTTGCTTTCTCCTTTTTTTGTTTCCCTGCGTTGCTTGGAATGCGTAGATCACAGGTACACCAAGGAGGGGTCAAATAAAGCACCGATGCTCAATCTCACCTCAAATCAGGTATGCTCTCTCTTTGCTCAATGTCATTGGTAGCTTGACCTTATATCTGTGTTTGCTTTAAACTACTTGGTGCTTTTTCAGGGTGCGAGTTATATATTCGAGTTTGAGAGTTATGAAGATCTCCATATCTGCAGGGATTTCGTGGGTAATTCCTTAGTTCCCTGTCTCTACTATACATCTGATTCTTAGATAAAATCCCATGGTCTTCGTGACATTTGTTGCCGGTGAAAGATTCCTTGTTACTAAAGGGTCGTTTGGAAATTGCGATTCTTCAAATTGATGTATTAGGTCAATTAGTGTATTATCATTTGATGTATTAATTCAATGCATGTATTAGGAAAATACTTTGTTTGGAAGAGCAATGATGAAACAAAAAGTAGGGTAGACAATCCCTCATTAACAATCTCACCTTTTAGTAGAGATTTATAATCATTCATTTTGAGTGATTGTAGGTGAGCCCAACAAAAAGGTAATGCATGCATTCTAACTCAAAGTGAACCAAAAAAACGACTTAATCTTATCATTACATGTATTTGCTAAATACCTCACTTCAAATCTCAACCTCCAAACGACCCCTAAGATCAAAGTCATGGCTTTGGATACATGTTTATCTACATATGTCAGTCTTTCCACGTGACTTGTTAAATTGTTTAGACTCCAGTAATCATGTCATCATGATAAAGCTTTAGTCATGACATATAAACTGCTGCTGTGATCAGATCACAAGAAACATTTCATGTAACTGGCAGGTTGTGCTAACTTGATGAAGTTTGGGCATAAAGGTGTGGTATAGAAATATTTCAGCACACACGTGATCAATATGTAGGAGTTTCGTGTGCTTTTGCTCTTCTGGATGAAATTTTCCGTGAATGTGAACCTGTTATCCAATGCTCCTTGCCCCTTTCACTGGCCCAAGGGCCTGCAACTTGGGATTTTTTCTTTTTGGTGATATTTTGACTCAGTATCTTTATCTATGTGTAAAAGATGCATGGCTGTGGTTCAGTCTCTTAGTTTATTTCACTGCTTATTCAATGTTTTTATGCCTTGTGGCAGGCAGAGCTCTTGCACCGCCAGCAGAAACTCCAAATCTTGGAGCTAATTCGCAAATTCATTCAGAACAACCCAGCAGAGATGATTTGCTCTTCCGTGCAAGGCTGCTGCAAAACAATAGGTGAAGCCAGTTTCTTTCTTATTTGTAAAATTTTGGGTAATTTTGAACTTCCAGTTCAGCTAGTTGGTGGTGACGAGGTGTCTTGTTTGCTTTACAGCATTGCAGCATCTTGGATCTAACATGTTTTAGATTAATTTTATATGCACAGAAATTTAGTTCTGCTTTGCTTGTGACTTGTCAATGTAATTAGTTGCTGAAAATGAAACTCACATTCCACATTCTCATATTTCTGAAAGAACCGTTCATTGAAATGAATATCAGAAGCATGCTATGTTAGGTAGGCTTGTTTGCTCCACCTATATACTAGAAAAGTTCGTCTTCATAAGCATTTATGGAAAAAGATTAACAGTTTGTACGGGGACCTAGATAATTTCTTCATTGATCATGTTCTCCCCAGTACTAGGTTACACTGTTATTGTTATTGCATATTTTTTTACTAAATCCTGAGAGGGGCCATTCCTTTTCCCGCTGGCGCATTCTCTACCTAACATCGCAGACTATGTGCTACATAGTGAATTGCAGAAACTCCATCAACAGTTTGTGGGTGGTGGTGTGCTGACAGAAGCAGAATTCTGGGCTACAAGGAAGGTTAGAATGATTAACTTGTGTATGCCTATTTTCGATGCTTTGGCTGCTTAATTTCATTCAGCATTTGAAGTTCTCAGCTTTTCTCATATCGGAGCATTGTTGGTAGCAAACATAGTCAATGTAGGTTGGTGTAACTGTAATTTAAAAACTGTCATTGTATTGCAGAAATTGCTGGAGAAGGACGCCAACAGAAAGGCAAAACAACGAGGTGGTCTTAAAAGTTCCGTGCTGGCAGAGTCAAAGCCTTTTATCGACGGTCGGGTACAATAATTTCCTCTCTTTGCTCGCTAATCTATTGGTGATGTGCGCTTGTGACTCACTTCGTTTTTATCTTTGTTGATGAGTTGTATTTGATCAAATGTGGTTCTGTTGAGGACTTCATGCTGAAACGTTTTTATTGCTTCCTTTAATCCAGACCAACAGAGTTACATTTAACTTGACCCCAGAGATAGTTCGTGAGGTATGTTGACTATACTGATTCTCCGTGCTTCACTGTGTCTGTTACGATATTGAACAGTACAAGTAGTTGAATTAAGGGCTCATTTGTACATTTATAATCCCCACATCATCCTCTTTACAGACTTTCTTCCTCTTGAATCTAAAGTTAATTTTCCTTCTATACAAGAAACTAAAATACATTGGTATTACTCTTATTTTCTTCCGACACATTTATTGCATTTGCTTTGTGAATGTCATGTCTTCTGTTTCCCCATAGCACTTAAGAATGCTTGTGAGGTCTCTCACATCTGAGTTTCAATGGCCGTTTGATCTTTAATAGTGTTGTTTTGCGTTAATTGTTCTGTCCATTCATCTCTGCTCTCTATATTAAAAAGTTTCCCTTCAGATTTTTTCAGAAAAACCTGCAGTTCACCGGGCTTACTTGAATTTTGTTCCCAGTAAGGTATTAACAACTTCTGGAAACTTATACTATTAAGTTATATATTAGTGCGTTAACAGTGGGGTAAGAAAGAAAAAAAATTGATTCATAACTCTGCCCTTTTCCAGAATTCTTCCCTTTATTTTCTCTGACTTCTATTTTTATTTTGTGTGTGGCTGAAGATGGCAGATAAGGATTTCTGGACCAAATATTGTAGAGCAGAGTATCTCCAGCGCTCAAAGAATATTGCAGCTGCAATAGCGGAGGCTGCTGAAGATGAGGAGCTTGCCATTTTCTTGAAGCCTGATGATATTTTGGCCAATGAAACTCGCAGGAAGGTTGGTTCAGGGATGCACTCCTTGCTCAGTTGCTCCACATTCTTCTTGAGAAACAGCATCTAAGTTTGATATATCACAAACGTAAAATTGTTCTTATACCAGATCAGACGTGTTGATCCAACTCTAGACATGGAAACTGACCAAGGTGATGATTATTCGCATCTTCCTGTAAGTTGAATATTACCGTCCTTATTTTGGAAATTTTGCTTTGATGGCAAGTTGGATTAGAGAAGTCATTGAATTCTATGACACTTGGGTATTTTCTTAACTAGTGGAAAAAAATAAATAAAACTAGTGGAGGGGAGTAGGGGTCTAACGTGTTTGTTACAATGGGGTATGTTATAAGTTGGAATGCTAGAGTATAAAATATCTGAGGCTTTTCATTAATATATTCGAGTGGGGAATGTAGAACATGGCTTGGGAGTTTGCACACTGTTAGTGGATGACTTTGATCCATTGATTGAATTCTGCACATCTATTGAGAACTTGAGTGAAATGTCGTGCTTGGTAATATCATAGGCAGAATGAAGCTTGAGGAATTGATTCTTGATTGTTTTGCTATGGGCAGTATACGCAGACTGTGTAGGCGTCAACAGGATGAAGTTTCCAGTAATGATTTAGGATGCGCAGCTGATGAATTAGCATTCATTGATTTTTTTTTTTTTGTAGAAATTCATCGATTTCTTTTACGTGTCTTTTTGGGGTCGTTTGGAAGTTGCGATAGTTTTGTTGAGATTGTCATTATGCATGTATTGTTTACAATGCATCGTTTTTTTTTTGTTTTTTTAGCAGAAACAATACATGGATTGTTTCTGTGATGTGACAGAAACTATCACTCATTTTGAGTGATTGTTATATCTCAACTTTTAGTTGTGATTGTTGAGATAGTTGAATTGAGATTGTTTTGTCTCAGCTTTTAGCTGATGCGACATACACAATCACACATACCAAACGTTGTATTTACAATGCATCAAATTCGACAATACATGTATAATATTATACATGCATTCTCAGCAATACATCTATTTAACAATCGCAACTTCCAAACGTTGTGTGTTTGATCATTTGTGTATTGCTGTTTCATTATTTTTTATTCTAATACTGTTTATTTTGGAAAACACAGGATCACGGAATTTTTCGTGATGGTAGCAAGGAAGTAGCCGAATCAGGGAATGAACTCTACCAAAGGACTTTGCTGCAGGACCTAAACAGGCATGCAGCTGTTGTTCTTCAGGGAACTCCCATAGGTAAGGAGTCTTCAAGAATTTTCTTTATTTCTCTGTTTACAGCTTAGCCTACTTTTGTGTGTTCATGTACATATGGCTTTTGAGTTTTCCTAACCATTACATTATGCAGATGAAGAGCAGCTGAAAGACACACAAACCGTAGCAGAGGCACTTGAACGATCAAAACAAGGTTGATGTCATTATTAGTTTTGCTTCGATTTTCTTTTAATTTTGCTTCCTCGTTATATTTAGCAGGTTCTGATAACTGTTCGTTTGCTAGAGCGTAGCACTGCTAGCAAAGATGACGAGTCATCGGCAGATCAGGAGAGATTAAAGGGAATATCTCAAGCGATGACAATTGACGATCTTCGAGGGTCAAATGATCACCACCTCGCGCCGCTTTGGATTAAGGTTCGTTTTTCTTTAACACCTTTTATCGTTCATGTGCTGTTTTTTTAATAACTATTCCATTCAGTTGGAGTTAAGGCTTGACCATGACAAACCAGGACCCTAGAGATTATTTCGATTCACGACAAGCCAGCTCAGTGAAAACTTCTATAGAAGCAACAAAGGGAACCATGAGCAGCCACGAATCATATGGTTTGTTGAGGGAATCCATCTCTCAAATTAAATCCATGGGATTGAATCACCCCGTAGTTGCATCAGAAGTAGCCCAGAAGGTAATTAATTGTCTGCATAAAAATCGGGGATGTGGTATTAATGATTCCAGACTTCCAGTCAGTCTCTGAATCTAGTTACAAACATTATTGTGTAGGTTCTCTCTGTGTTGACCCACAACATCTCAAGCACAAAGTATAATCTCGGTAAGAAACCTGGAGAGAGTCTGTTGGACAGCCTACCAACCTCAGTTAGAGACGAGCTTCTACATGTAAGTGCTATGAAGTTTTGGACAAGCAGCTGCCAGTTCCATGAGCCTGACACTTACATTCTCTGGGAGAATATCGGTATCTGATCTTTAAATCTTGTTTCCAGCATCATATTTCAATTGAAGAGTTGATGAAGCATTTTTGGTCTTCATATCCAATCACGAACAAGTATCTCAATACCAAGGTATACATTTCACCGGTTATCAGGGTTTAATTCTGTTTCTGGATTTTATTCGATGCAATCTATTGCATACAGGTTTTCTCCTCCTCTTACTGCCAATATAATGAATGTTATTTGCAGGTAACCAAACTAAAGGATGAAATGTCGAAAATGGATTCTCAACTACAGGTACATTGCAACATACACCGTACTAATTTCAAATTCTCAATAGGGTAGAGCTTTAATTTTGGTGAAAATGGTCGACGTATTGATTGCATCTGCCACTCTTCACTAAATTTCAGAAGTTGAAGGAAGCTGTACAGCCAGACATCCGCCATCAAATTACACTTCTGATTCGTCCGATGCAGCAGGTTGACGATTACTTCTTTCCAAAACTGCCTTCAAGTATTATCAGGTCACCTCTCTTTTACTGAACTCCCTTTCTGTTCGTCTGGTGCAGGCGCTCGAGGCAGCAATGCAGCACTACGACGCCGAGCAGCAGAAGAGAGCTTCAAAAGCTCGAGAAAAGCCGAATGGATATTCTTGAGAGGAGAAATCTTCTAACATTGTACGTCGGTTGGAATCGAAATTTTGTCGAGACGAGTTAGTTTCTTTATAGGTGAGAGATGACGAGCTTACGTTGCCATTCTTTGTACAAAAAGTTTTAAAGAAAGACAATGTAGCTACTCGTTGGTGATTTACTCTTACAAGTCACCCATTAACTATGCTCTTATGAAATGTGACACGAGTGAGGTTGAAAGGCCAACTGGTTACATATCTTCCCCATAGATAATCCAGAGCGTAATGCAGAATGTTTATAGCACATTAGGTAATCACATGTAGCGACGATAGTTAATTGATCTGTTGACGTAAAAATCATTTTACGAGCCTAAATGAACAGCTCTGTTAAATTTCCTATGAATAGAGTGCACTTAATTAGCTTGTAGTGTAAGCTCTAAATCAGTATCCTGTGGTGCCATACGTTGATCTATCAACCAAATATTTAAAAGTAAATAGCGATAATCAACCAAATCTAATAGTTGCAAAAGCAGACTTGTAAACTTTCCATCACTACTCACTACATCCCTGCACCAATTTCTTGCTAGTGGATATGTATATACATGTGCATATATGTGGTATTTACAAAGAAAGCCGCACGCCAAAGAGCAACAACCCCTCACTCCCTCACAAAGATCCAACTGATTACAAGTGGTTTAAACAAACAAATGACTGCCTCTATACTCTCAACTCTTTACACGAACAAACTGCTGCGTACACTCTCTTAAGCGACTCCGATAATGTCTGTCATTCACCTAGAGGTTGGGCGGCAGCCATATGCCTAACACGTTGATGAAGCCTTCGTCGGCGGTAAAGTCCAATCAGTCGAAGGCCGAGAACGATTATGATGGCTGCGTGATCAAACAGCCTCACCACTCCTGCCCCACCTGCAAGACAAGTGAAAGATATCGGTCTTAACATGTCAAGAATCGTACAGCATCTTGCGTCGAAGTGAGAAGTGCGGAAGAAGATAGTTGGCTTCATTAGAGAAGGCACTGACCTGTTGGAATGAAGTCGAAGGGAGAGAATGCATAGACAATGCTCATTATCATCTGAAAATTGTGGCAAAGGAAGAGAATTTCAGCAACTCATCATCCGAACTTTTACTTTAAGCTACCCTTCACTCTACTGCAGTCACATAGATGTGATCAGAATAAGCAGCAGCACCATTAAGAACACAAAGTCCTTGAAAGTAACCACTTTTCAGAAGGAGATGTGTTAACTGCTGCAAACAAATCAGATATATTCATATAGCCTCTGTGGTAATGAGTGAAAATGACATCTACAAGCATTCGCATTATCATAACACATGAACAGAGAAGCTGAACAGAATAGCCCCATCATCGAGATCCATAATGCGTATTTCAGAAGAAAAATGTCTAATGTTTAAGGAACTTACAGCTAAGAGGCGAGCTTCCTGAAGGAAGTACTCTGGTCTATCAGGATCCATCATCCGCATAACAATTCGCTTGAAGAATAACGGTGATTCCCGCACTTTCTGTTCATAACAATGCCAGTTAGTTCTCTCCCAGAACAAGAAATATACAACAAGGAACACTTCAATAAACTTCCAGTTAATCTGAGATAAACAGAATCAACTGAAAACTTGATAGGGGCTCCAGTTCTACCTGAACGAGGCCACGTGCTCCTCCAACATACAGGCGATTGTACCTCTCAACATCCCGCAAAACCTCTTTAACTCCCTGCTCTGGTTGATTGAGTAACGATGCCTCTGGCGTCAACTTAGTGATGCTGGACGAGCACATTGGGCATTTGCATGGTCTTGCTGCTGCTGAGTAGTTCCAAAACTGGAGAATGCACCCTCCTTCAAAGAAAGACAGCCCCATGTAACATATAAAACCTTAATGCCCATGATAGTAACTGCATTAGGAACAATCAGCATATCACCATGGATCTGACATTCCCACAATCTCACTTAACTATGAAAACTCTGCAACTAAATACATCCCCATTCACCAAATAGAAGGCAATTAGTGAGTTAAAACAACAGAACTCAAAGCTCCCAGCAAGTTAAAGAAGAAGAGCTTTTTAACATTCAGCTCCATTTTCCCGTTCAGAGCAGCTTTTAACAAGCACTTCACGAAAGACCCAAGAAAGCGTAACGCTACTTTCTTTAGACCTTTCAGTCTTTAGTTTCGTCTCAAGTGATCGAGGAAGCCATGGAAAATGAAAGATAGAAGTTCCAATGGACACAAGAAGCACTTCAAAATTCAAGAGAACCCCGAAATTCCACGCATCACTCCCACGATCTGGTATCGGAAATGAACCGCAGAAAGAGAAAGACAGCAGAATCAAAGAAAAGCAAAGAGTGAAACGGACCGCAATACCAATGGCCGCAGTTCGCTTTACAGGCGACGGAGAAGTCGCCGAAGCAGATCGGGCAGCAATCGTCGACGGGAGGGCCGGCGGCGGAAGCAGCAGTGCGACCACCACCACCACCATCGCTAGGGTTCCTCACGAAATCGTCTGCTTTCGTCTCTCTTCCTCCACCTCCCGCCTCGACCGCAATCCTCGTACCGCCACCGCCTCCCTCGCCGCCCGGAACGGCAACATTGCCATGAAGAAGAGCAGTATCGGCCTGATCCTGGGCGGAGCCCGTCGCCATTTCCGTGAAGCAGCAGCAAATCCGACTCACGAATTTCTGCAGCTACTCCTTCCTCGCATTTATTCCACCTCGCTCGCTCGCTCGCTCTGTCCGATTGTTTTCTTCTGAGCTCGGTTTGAGAATGGAATTTATGACCAAAAGTGTCGAGTTGGGTGGCGGTTCATTCAAGGAAGGTACAGGAAGCGGCGACGCGGTCAAGGTTGTGAAACCGGGTTTATACAATTTTAGGGGTAAATACAATTTAATATCCAAACCTTTCATTTTAAACAATATAATAGCTAAACCTTTTCAAAAGCAATCTAATATCCAAATCGTCAACTTTCCGCTCGTTTGACTGTTAGTTGACACTTCAAAATTCGAAGTATGACGCTTCATCAATATCCAGCGATATCTTCTCTGAAAAACCACCAACATATCGTGGTTCCAAACCCGAGAAGTCCATGACTCCACCATGATGGTATAGAATATCCAAATATTCAGTCATTGCAATGCCAAAACAAGAAAACAAAGTTGTATTGTGACAATTTCCCCTAAACAAAGCCTTTTTTGAAGTGTCAACCAACGGTCAAACGGACGGAAAGTTGATGATTTGGATATTAGATTGTTTTCGAAAAGGTTTGGCTATTATATTGTTTAAAATGAAAGGTTTGGATATTAAATTGTATTTACCCCAATTAGCGAGCGAGTTGGGCCGATTAGGTTGCGAGTTCGGTTTATATTCCGATTTATGTCGGTTTTAACAAAGCATACACGAAGAAGTGAAAATTATTAACATAAAACGTGTGCAATTTGTATAATCTATTTTAAGACAATCTACATACAAATTTCATTGATATTTAAATAAATTCTACATTGACAAGGGGTATGGTCCGGTTGGGATAAGTTTAGTTTTATATTCTGATTTATGTCGGTTTTAATAAAAAATGTACGAAAAGTTCGAAAACCATCAACACCAAATTCGTGCATTTATATAATATATCTTAATACAATCTAATTATAAACTAACTTCGTCCATATTTAAATAAAATACTACTTTACAAACAAACTGACAAATTGTCATATTTAAATACGATATTTTTAACGTTGTATCATCCACGTTTGTACCTGAATACAGTAGACAACATCAACATCTAAATATGCATACTTGAATCCGACAAATTTCTTTTGTATTTGTTTGTTAAGCTCATCAAAATAACGTCATTTTGTTTAGAGACCGAGAATTGATAATTCCAATCGTATTGCTTTTTTCTCAATTGTAAGTTTTTTTTTAACGATTTTGACTAGCGGTGATCTTCCGGTCGATTTTGATCTAATACGGTTGAACCTGGATTTGACCAAGTACGCATACCAGTGGTTTTGGGCCACCGCAGAGCTCAGAGCCCACCGTATTCGCCACTCGCCGGTCAGCACGACGACAAGTCGCGGATTTCGGTGCAGATTTCCCTTTTCCCCCGCTATTTGCTACTTTTATCCGATTTGCGTCTTTATCTGATGAAATCTATTTATCCAGAAATCAGCAGCTTTACGGGGTGCTTTATAATAATATAAAACTAAGGTTGGATTAAGACAAGTTAACCGAAGATTCCCCTAATTAATTGTTTTCCTCTTTGCTCTGTGGAGCTCAGTGTGGGACTTGAGTTACGGATTTGTAACGGCGGGGGGTTGATTATGGTAAATTACCAATGAATTAGGTGTAAGCTTCCATCTAAACCTATAGACAAGGTGGGGCTTTACGAGTATTACATAGGGCTGGCTATTTGGACCGGGACCGGATGAAAAACGGAAACCGGACCGTATAACCCGGACCGAGACCGGACCGGGACCGGATAGTAAACAATCCAATCCAATCTTTGGGCTTAGATTTGAGGTAAAAAACCGGATAAAGACCGGATAAGAGAGCTCAACACCCAAAACTTAAGGGTAATTTGCATAAACGGTCACAAACCTTTGCACTTAGTACAAAACTTAACCAACTCCTCACCCTTTTAGGCCTTATGCCACTCAAATTCCCACAATCTCAATATAAAATCAAGACCGAATTGGGACCGGACCGGGTCAAAACCGGACTGTATCCAATCCAATCTTCGGTCCTTATATTTTCAAAAAAACCGGACTGGACCGGATCAATTTGGGCCAATTTAACCGGACCGGACCGTATAGTCACCCCTACTATTACATGCCACTAGCTTTGAGGCAAGCAAGTTGGGCGGAAATTTTTTTTTAAAGATAATTTAGTTTGTGGTTGTACGACAACGTTTTTAACACGCATGAAATTGTTGTGTATTATGATAATACAAAATTAAATATTGATATAGTTTAGTAACTCAACAAAATAAGAAACGTATCCAGATAACTATGATAGTTCTTGAGTCATTCGTTTATGGTGGAATATAATTGAGTGATATTGATATAGTTTAGTAACTGTCGTATAGGAACATGACTTGTGAACATATGATTGTTGACCATGCTTTTGAGATTTTATTTTTCAACATATAATTGAGTGATATTGATATAGTTTAGTAACTGTCGTATAGGAACATGACTTGTGAACATATGATTGTTGACCATGCTTTTGAGATTTTATTTTTCAACATATATCAAAATGAATATTATTGTGTAGATCATGTATTTATTGGCACGCAAATATCTTAATTCATAGTTGAAACAAAATAAATAAGGATAAATTAAAAATATTAGTGGAAAAGGTCCTGAAATTACAGTTTCTCCCCACTTTTGGTAAATTATAGTTTGGTACCCAAATTTATTTCTTTTTACAATTTAGTACCTAAACTTTTAAATTTATACAAAAGGTCCTGAAATTTTTATGGTAAAATTATGTTTTGGTACCTTTATATGTTTTGCCTTACACTATAGTACCTATTTTAATATTTTACAAATAGGGTCCAATCTTTTATTAGGAGGTATTTCAAATCAATAGTTGAAATGTATTAGAAGTTGACAAGAAATACATTAGACATGTATTTGGACCAAGCTGATTAACAGGACCAAGCTGATTAACCTCTACTCTGCCCCATGCATGTTTGGTTCTGACATGGCTTCTTCACTATAGTAGCAGGTCCTGTGGATTCTACTGACAACGCACTCGGTAGGGGTGGGCAACGGGACGGGACGGGATACCCGTCCCGTTTTAAACGGGTACCCAGTCCCATTTGGAGACCAAAGTCCATCCCATATCCCAAACCTATATGGGAAACGGGTACCCATTACTCGTACGGGACGGATAACGGGTACCCATACTACCCATAAATACCCAAAGTTTAAACCACTAAAATTTTAACAAAAGTTTAAACTTAACTTGTATTTGCTTAACAATCACAAGACACAAAATACATCCCAATCACAAATACTTGGTTTGCAAATTAATTACACATTCATGAACAATCACAACACATAGAAATAAATCATTCCAAGTACCAAATTATAAAAAAAAAGTTTCATTCAACACATCCCAACTCTCTCTACTAATTCACCAAACATGTCAGTGAAAGAGTGAAAGGGTAAGGGCCCAAATGAAATTGAAATTGAAATTGAAAGGGTAATGGCCGAAATGACCAATGGGTTTTGAATTGGGTTGGGCTGAATTAAATTTATGCATTTGTATTGAATGGGTATAACGGGTACCCATATTACCCAAACGGGTATTCGCGGGTAACCCGCGGGTACTCATATTAGGAATGTTCAATCCCAAGTCCCATCCGTTTATAATATTGCGGGTAATATGGGAACCCATAACCCTTAAAAAACGGGACGGGTACGGGTATATCCAAATACCTGTTTCCCATTGCCCACCCCTAGCACTCGGGGAGAAGGCTGGAGCAGTTTTCGACCAATCCGAAATAGCTGCTAACAGAAGCATTTCGACACAAAGCCCCCATGGCCACGCGACGGAACTGGGGTCACTAGCTGCCCGATTCAATTCAACACTCAGGCTTCAGTTCATCATATCAAACAGTCATACGTAGTTCTCACAATTCTTGACATGAAAGAAAGAAGCTTCGGTCGGTAACTACTGCATACATCCATGTGCTTGGAACATATATACCAGCAGGTCATTTATAACATGGAAGCGTTTATAGGCCTGATCAAGAATCAGAGAACAGCAGAGCTTGAATTAGCTAGTTGGGCTACATGAGCAAACAATGGGCTATACGAATACTAGTAGTAGTAGTAGTAGAATGTTTTCCTCTTTGCTCTGTGGAGCTGTGTGTCGGGACCTACGAGTTACAGATTTGTAACGGTGGGGTTGATTGTGGTAATCAAATCGCATTGCTAATCCAACAGCTAATCATGTGCTTAGTCCCGCTTCCATCCTCCACACTATCCGTGACTTTGTGTTTTGGGGTAAAAGGGAAGTGTTCCATACATGATAGAAAAATTGTTCAATCTAATATCAGGTAACATATGGGAAGGAAACATGTCAGATCGCACCAGTAGAATTCTCTCGGTCACTGGTCGAGAAAGTGAATTCACGAGTGGAGGATAAATTGGCCGGAAGTTTTTCGAGATTTATTCGGAGGAGTTCGGTCCAGCAAGATTGGAGGTGTTGAATGGAAAAGTAATAAGAGAAGAAATCCAAAAAAATGTGTTTAAAGTTTAAACTGATGAGCGAGGACAGTGCTATTGGACCATATGGGTTCTTATCGGAGTTCTGCCATGCTCATTGTGATCTTATAGGAGAAGAGGTGGAAGATGTGGTTTTAAAAGTTTTTCAAAATTGGTATGTTGAGGGAACTTAATGCCACGATATTTATCATGGTGGCTAAGGTGCCTAATGCAGTTAATATTGAGGAATTTCGTCCAATTTCATGTCGTAACACTCGCTACAAGGGTATTTTCGAAGATGTTGACAAATAGAATGACACAAGTGCTCCCTAGTGTGATAAGCGACTCCCAATAAGCTTTCATAGGAGGGAGGACATTTTGTTAGCATCATAATTTGTGTTACGATTACTTAAACCGTGTTAGTATTGGGCCTTGTTGGGCCTCGTCTGATTCGTTGGATTAGGATTTTAACCCTAAGTTTATCTATATAAGCTTAGCTATCGACTTGTGTGATAGCAAGCCGTCAAGATGTAATCCTAATAAGAGATCAGCCGTGAGCTCTTATGAGCTCACCGTGGATTAGTCTCGATCAATCAATCGATCGAGGATACCACGTAAAATCGTTGTCTCCCGT